ATGTCACTGTGTTAATGTCTGAATATCAACTTTTTTTAATTTTTTTATTTAAACCTTTATTTAACTTTGAAGATCTCTATGTCTCACTGGTTTGTATTTGCACTGTAACCATTGAAAGAAATCCCCTTTATTACTTTGATACTTACGGAGGAACATTTGCGGTTATAAGGAGTGTCTTTTTATATGATTTCTTAGTTGATTTATGGACACTGAATACTGACAGAAATGAAAAGAGTAAATTTCAATAATTCCATCAGTGTGTGTATATTTTCTGTGTTTTCTGAATGATCAACCACTCCATAAAGGTGTGCAAGTTTAAGTCAAATATTGTCATTCAGATGACAGGTCAACTTAATGGAAAAAAAACATTATTACAGACATTTGGATGTTGTTAGCATCTGTTTAGGGTGAATTACATGTCTGGTACATAGCCTAGTTAGCACTATTCCTCCACCAGCTTGTGCACTGACACACCACATGCTCTCACTGGCTTTCCAATTCCCGTACCTGGAAGAACTGGTTAGGTTTGACTGTACTGGCACTCTGTGCTCTAATCTTTCACAAGGATCATCACATCGTTGATCATACCACTTTGTAGTTGGCTGGAGACTGGCCACCTGAGAGGTTTAGACTCCTCCTTTTGTCCCTCACAGAGCTGCTCTGGTTGCGTCGGATTCGCTCGTTCTGCTCCTCCACACTCATCTTTGACTTCAGCTCTGCAGGAAACACAGCGCTCTTTGGACGCTCCTGTGACAAGGATGTGGCATAGAAACACTTTGATTCAGAAAAGATTTCAGTCTCAGACCTATTGGAATTTAGTTGTGTCTCTGAGATAGTTGACATGAGGAGTGGAGTACCATAAGTTTCAATCCTTGGGCATGCTTCCATGAGGCCAATTTTACATAAAACAATAAAACGTACGATACTTATGCACATTATTATTCTTTCTATATTGTTGATCTAGTGTTTGTGTAATAATGTTTAAGTTGTATTTCTTGTTTTCAATTCATTAAGTAAAGGACATATGATTTCCATTGTGTATAAAATGCAAAACAATGTTGTAATTTTTTGGCCCATCATCCTTTTTTAATAAATAATTATGTTTAAGACTATGCTGTGCTCAAATTTATTTTAAGACCATAACAGGAAAATGAAAATATTTTCTTGAGATATCAAATAACTCCTTAATAATGAGTGTTATGAGCATGACTTACATTTATTTCCAGTAAGACTGGAGGGCAAGCATTAATAATAAATAAAAAAATTAAAAATCTACTGATACTCAAAAACAGCTTATATTTTGGCAGGACCTCCATGTAAATGGACTTGCACTTGTACTTGTATAGCGCTTTTCTAGTTGTGAAACACTACATGTCATTTACCCATTCACACCCATTTATACACGATGGCAGGGTCTACCATGGAAGGTGCCATTTGCTCATCAGAACTATTTCATCATTCATACCCATTCACACCGTATGGAGCAATTTGGGGTTAAGTGTCTTGCCCAAGGACACATTGACATGGACTAAAGGAGCCACGGATCAAATCGCCGATCCTCTGATTGAAGGACAACCCGCTCTATTGCTGAGCCACAGTCACCCATACAATCTCATTCTTGGACTGGTTCTAGATGTTCTCTCATAAGAATAATATTACAAATATCTGAATATCAACATCTTACCCCCCTCAGCTTCTTGACGATGTGTTAACATGTAATGCTTTTAATTGATTTGAGATATTTGTGGTAATAACAATATTGTTTGGTTGTTTCTATCTTGGTTGTTTCTATCTAACACAGGGTTCCTGTGAACACTGGTTAAAGGTTTGTGAATGGTTTGATTTCCTCACACTATCTTGTTTGAACCCTTGATGCGACACATCTGTACATGCTGTAGTTCAGACAGACATTTTGATATTATTTACATGGAGGCAAGGCTGACATACCCTAGAAATTCCATTAGGCCGTCTGCCATTATGGTGGGAAACTCCATAAGAGCTGCTGTGTGATTTGTCGGTGGGGGACTTCGTTCTAGGAGGGACAATGCCAACTGGCAAAGGATACAACAGACAAGTTTAAAACAAAGGGAAAGAAGAGGGAGCTGAATTGTCACAGCTAATACTATAAGACAATCTATACAATTCCTGTCAGTCTCACTTGATTTAATGATACAATCACACGTCAAATATCCAGATTCTGAACTAGATTATGAATTTTCTTTCATCTGTAATTTAAAAATGTCAGTAGAGGGAATGTCATTAGTGTTTTTTAATACTCCATCAGGTTCTGTGAACCTAAATGGATGGGCTGTACTTGTACAGAGCTTTTCTAATCTTCCGACCACTCAAAACACTTTAACACACTACATGTCACCAGTGGCGGCTGGTGGAAAGTTTTCTAGGTAGGGCCATCCAATCAATTTCAGCAAACATCCCAGTATGGTTTAATGCAAAGAAAGTATAGTATCAAACACGCATTACTACTTTGCAGTTAAATATTTAACATTTATTCCAACACGAAAAAAAGCAGTAATTAACACTTTGATAAATCTTATTTAATCTTATTTGATAAATCTCATTTTTGTCACCCTCACAGGGAATTCAGTATAATACATATATATATATATATATATATATATATATATATATATATATATATATATATATATATATCATATAATAATATTCAGTATAATATAAAACACACACATACATATATAGATATAAGCTATGATGAGTTTTCTCTGTTAATTTACCATCTCCATTAAATGTTGATGCCTCCATGACCAAGTTAAGCAGATGAGACTGAGGACAACTATGCAGAAGAAAAGATGTTCACTTTGCCTAATATGTAGCTTGACAGAGTTCTCCATGTGTGTCCTGGTGTTCTCATGTTTCCTTACCTCCTCATCCCTCACTCCCTAACTGTCCGTGCTGGATCTGTCCCCGTTGTTTTAAAGCTAAATACGTTATTAGCATGACGTCATCCAGCTAGCCAAACCTGTCTGGTGTACAGCTACTAGAGAAGCTTTGCATGTACTGCTTCCCTTTCCCGCTAGTCTGCTGTCTGATTGTGAGGTCAGGCTGATCTGGGATCAGCTCTTTGGCCTGAAGTTTCTTTGCCAAAGTTCTCCTCTCAAACGGGTCTTGGAGGAGTAGTCCTTGAGCTGGCGCTCGCCTGTAGAAACTTCTCCTGACGAGAAAGCGCAGCTTGGGGCCAAACGAATTTGGCCCGAAGCTGAATCTATTTGAGGACACTGATTGGCTAAATTGTATGTCACTCATTTATATCTTTAATCAGCAATTGGCTAAACTGCCTCATAGACCCGCCTCTTTTGGGCCAAATTTGTTTGGCCCCAAGCTGCGTGTTCTGAGACGTGAACCCAGGCGGAGAGGACGAGCAGACAGGTGGAGAGGACGAGCAGACAGGCGGAGAGGACGAGCAGACGAGCAGACAGACAGAGAGGACGAGCAGACGAGCAGACAGGCGGAGAGGACGAGCAGGAAAAGCATATATTTTGCGCAGGTATCGTATTTTACACATATTACTGGATACATTCCATAGTTCAAAAACACAAATCTTTCTTTTTTTGTGTGGCTCAAGGTAGGGCCAGGCCCCATGGCCCTCTATTGGCCAGCCGCCACTGCATGTCACCCATTCACATGGGAGGGGCTACCATGCAAGGTGCCACCTGCGCATCAGGACTAAGTAACATTCATTCAACATTCACACACCGTAGGCACAGCTACGGGAGCAATCTGGGGTTAAGTGTCTTGTCCAAGGAAATCGATATGGACTAGCGGCGGCTAGTTACATGGAAACTTGAGTTTCGGTTGTTGTACCTTTATTCATGGTGGATTGTCTGTCCTGAACCTGGTCCTGCACGTTATTGATATTCTGTTCTGCAAACCTGGACTGCAAGGTGGAAAAATTACATTATATGTATCAACGTTAAACGTGAAGGCGGTGAGAATTCAGTATACAGAATGCATCAGATAATGTATTACTTTGTATAGTGATGAGGGCATCATGTCAAAATGCCTGTTATACCCGTCTTGACTGAATCAATACATCAATTGCTCACACAGTAATGGCCTGATCACACCTCTGATAGAGAAATTTCACACCAAAATCATCTGTTGACTAGTTACAAAGTGTCTTGAGAGTGATGACCTTGAGGGAACAAAAAGAGCCTGAGAGAAAAAAACTGACTCTTATTTCTCCTTGAGTATGAAGTGCTCCACAAAAGAGATGCAACCGGGTGTGCAGCCATTCATGGGACAGGAATGGATGGTGCCAATGGATGGTACAAATGTGATGCCTTGATTTAAATGGCAATGCTTCCAGCATAACCTATATTGTGAGAATGCGTGAACTTTCACTGTGCTACTTCCTGGTGTGACCACATACTAACTACAATGACTACAAATAGGCACATCGGAAGTTTGATAGACGATCTGTTGCTGTAGAGAACTCCACGCAAAGATTCATACTCAGTGTTAAGTGCTGCCCATCCTTGGCAAAAAATAGTTCTTTTCCAAAGCACCTGTAGAGCATTTTGAACTGACATGTACCGTGTTTACTAAAGAAAACGTACACTTCCTGTTACAGAAATGCAACTGCCATGACTTTTATTGGCAGAGGCAATAAAAAGAGCAAAGGGAGGGCACCCACTTATGGAACAAGTGCTTTGTGAGGTCAAATAAGGGCTGATATGGAGACACAGAAGGACAATCAGAGGCAATCGGTGGCATGCTTAATTACAATGGAGAAATAGAAAAAGGAACAACATGGGAAATTTGAAGGGATGAATGGTCCCTGTTGGTCTACAAGGTTAACTATAATGTTCTTAAAGATGACAATAATGATAGGACTGGGTGAAGCGAGGGCAGGACAGTAGCGGAAACACCCAAATACCTTTCTGTTTTGAGAATCTTCACCATCAAGGTAACCATCATCGATATCCAAGCTGCGTAGCCAGGCAGTGCTGTCAAAGGGCAGGGGAGGGACGGAGGGAGGGAAGGTAGGGGAGGGCTCCAAAGGGTGATAGGATTTGGGGAGGGGAGGCCTTGGGGGAACACTTTCCTAGATGACCATAAGGGCAAGAGGGAGGGAAGAAAGGAAGGAGGGAAAGGATAGGTGGAAGAAAGAGTGCTGCACATCAAGATGAGTGATAATAAGCCAGGCAGAGCAGAAAGGACTCATGGGAATTATTCTGTGGAGTGGTGTCTTTATCCTATGTTAAGGAGTTGGATGTGAAAATCCCCAGCTGGCCAATTAAATACCTGGGGTGAATTCCTATATCATAAACATTCTGTGAAAGGCTCTGTGAAACAGCAATGCCATTTCAACCATCCATAAGTAATTTGTCACCTATAATAGACTAACATTTATACAGTATTACATTGCTGAGAAACAGATTAGATTAGATTAGATATATACTTTATTCATCCCCAAGGGGAAATTTGTCAATTAGATCCATCCCTGGAATTGGAATTGAACAAGTAAAGCTTGTCATTTATATTTAAGAGACAGCTTGTACTGCAGCACAAAGTCCAACATGAAATTTTCAACTCAAATATTTTCTTCATTTTATTTGGTTGACAGAAAACATGAATGTTGTCAACGGATAGCAGGTTAATTTTGGAGGTGTTTAATGAAAGAATGCAAAAATGAGAGAACATGCCTCTGAACCCTTAATTTATACTCTGGCAAAGTATCATCTCAAGACTCATGATATTAAATCCCCCAAATATTTATGTGAATCAGACCAAAGCTCAACTGTGCCAAAGAGTGTTATCTGAGAAAATAAATCAGGGATGAGTGCACATTCTCTCTGATCCATGAGATCCCTGTAGAGCGGTTAAAGAAAATGTTCTGACAAGTGAAAGGTCAGATACAGTTCTGTCTGCAAAGGCAATTAAAAGCACCAATGTCTTTACTAAATGGGGATGAAAAATTATGTCATGATTACCTTTCGCAATGCAAACTTAAATATTTATGATTTGGGGGAAAATATTGTCCATGTATTTACAATATTACAAATCAGAACAGATTGAATGTGGAATCATCAGAATCGACTATGACATGGTGGATATCCTTGTCTTTAAAGATGAGTCTGCATGAATAATTCACCTGAGTGATTACTGGGTGAATCAGTCTGTATTATGGCTGAAGTCACTGGAGCAATGCTATGCCCCCCTTTACCCCCTTGATTGTTGGGGTAAGAAAGTGGCCTAGCCCCTGAACTTGCATGACATGATGATGGAGAAGCTAGCTGATGATAGGGTTGGGTTTCATGGCTAGCACCTGAAGATGTAAAAAGATCTGGTCTGTGACATAATGATAAAAGGTCAGCCCGATAGGAGTCCTGGAGAAACAGGATCTGGTAATCAGGCACAGAAAAGCGTTTGTTGGGGATCAGGTTTCTGAGGCCACCATGGTATCCTGCTGAGAAGTGATATGGGTGGGAGTCTGGATAGACATCTTTTCTGAGGCCAATCTTTACTTCTTGACTGCAAACATTTGAGGTTATCCAACAAACTTCCTGCTGGTCAGAGTGGGTTCGGGCTGTGCCTGAATGCTGATTGGTGTGTTTGGCTGGTTGGTCAAAGTTTGTCTTGGTTCTGCAGTTGAAGTTTTGGTCTGATTCCTCTATCACAGTGTCTAATATACTCAAGGATTCACGAGTTTCACTACCATAGTTGTTTATATGTTCTGAATGTAGGCTTGTGTCAGGTTCCCTATAACTTTTGGGTCTACACCTAGGCTTAGGGTCAGTTTTGAAATGAGGCACTATACATGACTTTGGACGGGATTTAGGGATTGATTTTATACGCACTTCAGGGTTGGTTCTAGAGTCGAAGCATTGGCCTGTGCCAGGATTTGGATTGGGGTTGGTCCCTGGCTGGGTGTGTCCGGTGCTTACCTCCGGGCCCAGCTGTTTGGTGGGGGAGACCTGGGAGCCGGGCACTGGGGAGAAGGGGCTGAGTGGGCTGGTGAAGCTTACTGAGCTCAGGGGACTGGCTGGACTATTGGTGCTAAAGGAGCCTGATGCACCGCTGGCCACTGTGCAAGAGAAAGAGAGGGTGGTGGGGGTGGCAGGGATAGAGTCCTTAGAATATACATGTTAGAGACACCGGAATTTCCACTAAACGTGATTATTTTCCAGCACCTCTGTTACCTCTGTGCTTGGCTGTGTCAGTGCCTCTGGATGAGTTATTCTTGTGCAGTCCCTCTAATACATCCTGGACTCTCCAAAACTCTTTCTGGATGTGCCTATGAACCAGTCCACTCTGCAAAAATCCCAAACACAAACTAATTGAAGAAACAGCCCCTAACAAGGAAATTGTTTCTGGAAGGAAATATTGTTGTTAAACTACTTAAATGTAAATTTTCAATTATGTAATTACCAGAAAACCAGATTCCATTAATTTATATTGTTGTGTGGGCAGAAATCTCAGTGACAGTCATCTGATGACAAACAAAACACAAACTACAGGGTTGGATACCACAACCGCAAGTGAACTATATATATATATATATATTTAATGAAGGAATGACCCTTCTTTTTTGAATCCTCATGACAGTATTGCATATACTGTACTTTCTACTAACACTTCATTAAAGCTAAAACTAACTATTGAAAGAAATAGTCAAACCCAAGGTACATTTGAACAAATAACCTGTGGTACTAACAATGTACCAAACCATGACCAAGGTATGTTGCGAACAATGGATTTTAAAACACATTTACACTGTATTTGGGTCTTTCCTAAAGAGTACTGTCGACCTTGCTTTCCTATCCCATATTCACTTCAGACAAAGATTGGCTGTAACAGGCCATCTCTATCAGTACGTCATAACTCTATCACTGATAGGAATCACATGGAGGGATGTACTCTTTAAAGAGAAAACAAAACCTTCTCTGGGGATGTCTCGATTTGAGAGAAAGAGATCCTAAACATACATGCTGTGCAATTACTGCATATGGGAACAATGAAGAGATTCAAATTCCCATTGGTTACTGATAAGGTTGATTATTGTTTTCATCATGAAATTCCTAAAGCAAATACTGAAGAACTATGCATTAATTATGTTTAGAAGTTTCTCCATGGTGCTATATCTCCAAATTGTATTTGGAAACATGCTTTCCATTTCCCATATAAATTACAACTGGGTAGATAAACAGAACTGACGACTGTGTGACCCTTTACCTGCCCTCCTGCATTAAGCTGCTCCCATAGGTCTCCATGAATGGCGTTGGCCTCATCCTCTAATGCTTCAAACTCCATACGATTGGTGGTTAAAGCCTAAGAAATGTACAAATGATTGCAGTGTTTCTCAGAATGTTTATAACATATGTGAATAACATAAATAATGCCTGCTAAATGATGCCTTTGACCTTCAGAATGAATTGAGTATACATGAAAAACTGAGATCCAATTAAATTATTCATTAAAATGTTTAAATGAAAGCTTTCCTTACAACCTGGATATTGTTTTTGTATTTGGGCCGTCTTTCTCCGCTATCGAAATATGGCAATGCTGGTAAACACAGCTTTATAACAGAAGAACATTAATGCATCTGAAATGTACATTATACTGATGGAGTCATAAGGGTGCCATAATAAAGAATAGATCTGTAAGAGAAGAAGAAAATATATTTGGAAATATAAGAAGGAATAAATTAAATAATAAATCCGTAAATAAAACATTTTTGGAATTATAATTGGAGAAAAATAAATAACTGGAAAATAAATATAAATAAAATATAAAAGAGTAATGATAAGCGTGTTTTTGTATATTTATTTATATATTTTTAATATACAGTATACAAAGTATACATATATTTAGTTATATTTCTTGCATATAAACTACTACTATACTGCTAAGTATTCTAAAAAAAATACATGTTAATGTGTTTTTTTAAAATACATATTTAGTTATTTTTATCATACATTATCTATTGATATCCATTTATTTTGTTATTATTTATCTTATTGCTTTGTGTTTTTACGTAATGCTTTTGCTAATTCTTAACCTGTTACCACTCCTGTAAAATTAGCCTAAAATGCTTATTCAAGACATACCCAAAGTCAACTGAAAGCTGTTGTTGAACCATTTGGAGTACATGCATGCTTTTGGTCTCTTTTGAAAGGTAACACTTTACGTTGAAAAATACATAGATAATTAGGCATATCTGCCGGCTAATTTGAAATGGTGCAACAGCAGTCCGTGGGTATTTATGGACGTAATAATGTGTTTTGGACAAAATATTGTACTGGATTGGATTGTCTGGACCTTTGGCAATGTAACAAGACCGTTTTTGTTGGAATATTATCGATGGGTGGATTTCTATCAAGCTTCATAGGTGAGATGCCTCGATTTTCTAATCGTTTATTTTTGGGTTGGTGGTCTGACAGGCGTTGCGTGTACCTGCTGTTGTGATTGTATCTTGAAATGGTTTGCATAAATCAAATTACAAGAATCTTAGCTTTCCAAAGAGATGTCGCATTAGTACCTACCTTTTACATAGCAGTTGTGTACATGACACACATGTACACTAAACACTCTGACGGCCGTCGGAGTGTTAATAGCCAAGCTAGCAACTGTCTTTGTGCTTGGCCTTCCTGCCCAGGCTGATTAGTCAATTCCTGCACATGTGAACCGATCATTTGAGAAGGGTCTATCTTCAGTCTAGCAGGCTACACAGCACGCCCACTTTACTACATGACAGGGCCCCTGAGATAACTTCTGATTCACATACTTATTTTAGCCCAAACCATGATGTTTTCAATACAAAGTATTTTTGGCACCTAAACTTTTTGGTCTAAAACCTAACCGAAACGCGTCATGAATTACTGTGGACCTGCAGATAGACCTACTTGAATGCTTTACCTGGACACAAACAGCAGCACAAACAGCAGAAGGAAAGTGAGATGGACTTGCACAGTCGGAATGTGGTGTGGTAGAGACTTTGGGAACATCGTGGCAGAAGAAGAAACAGAGTAAGGGAGAGGTGTCCAAGAAGTAAATTTAATAATTGTTGTGTGTGGAGGAGCATTTTTGAACTGGACTATGTTTTGAGGATGGTATAGGATGTCATGGAGTTTCTAGGGCAAATATCTGCACCAATACATACAAATTTTATTTGGATTTTTTTCCCAAGTAGCCACTACCACATTCAGTCTGCATGTGCACGTCCGCGTCTGGGCTACTTTCTATTCTTTATGCTGGAAAGCAGTAACCCTAACCCATGCCAAGCCCCTTGAAACTATCCCAGTTCAGTTAGGATTAGGCAATACAAGGTGGCAAAACTACTTTTTTAGGTTTAGGCACAAAAACTATTTTTTTTAGGTTTAGGCATAAAAACTGCATGGTTAGGGCAACATCATGGTTTGGGTTAAAATAAGTATATGAATCACAAGTTATCTCAGGAAGTCTGTTGTGTAGAAAAGCAGGTGTATCATATAGTTAATGGCCGTGTCATGTAGCCTTCCAGACTGCAGACAGACACTCCTCAAAGCATCGGGTCATGTGTGCAGGATTTGACAACTCAGCCTGAGTAAAACCAAATGTGTGAAATCACACACACACACACACACACACACACACACACACACACACACACAC